TACAAAAAAATAAATTACATTCAACTTGAGTCAGTGTAGCAAGAAAATCCCTTCTGTTTAACTGTTGAGGAAAGGAACTTTGAAACAGTGATGATTTTGTGGGTTTGGTTTTTTTTTGTTTTTTTTTTTTTGTCTTTTTGAGACAGGGTCTCACTATGCAGTTCAGGCTGGCCTTGACCTCACTTTGTAGCTCAGGCTGGTTTTGAACTTGCAATAATTCTCCTGCCTCAGCCTCCTAAGTGCTGGGATTACAGGTGTGTGCCACCACGCCTGGCTTTTTTTTCTTTTTGAGACAGTCTCGCTATGCAGTTCAGGCTGGACTTGAGCTCACTTTGCAGACAAGGCTGGTCTCAAACCCTCAAAAATCCTCCTGCCTCAGCCTCTCGAGTGCTGGGATTATGGGAGTATGCTACCACGCTTGGCATACTGTAATTATTTGTCTTGTTTTTATGATTAAGGGAGGTACATTACTAGTTCTTAGAATTTGTCAGTGTTCAGTTTGCATTGGATATTATAACTGATGCTGATTTTATTACTATAGTCAAGGTGACATAGCTGTGTTATTAATTCATTTTCTTGGGATGTGAGTAATTGGATTGTCTTGGGGTCATTCACAATACTGTGGTTCATTCTTATAGAACTGGATACTCTGCCAAATATACTTCTCAGATAAAGAAATACAAATGACCAATAAATACATGAAAAAATGTTCAACATCACTGCCCATTTGAAAAATGCTGATTAAAAAAACCTGGATATTCCATTTTACTCCAGAAAGAGTGACTACCATCAAGAAATCAACCAATAACAAATGCTGGTGAGTCTGCAGGGAGAAAGAAATCCACCTTCATTGTGGGTGGAAATATAAACTGAACAACTACTATGGAAATTAGTATGAAGAGACCTGAAAAAAATTAAAAATTCAAATTCCATGTAACCTAGCTATTTCCCTTCTGGGTATCTTCCCAAAAGAGTTAAAGACAACATACCATGGTGATGCATGTATTCCACACTTAGAGCAGCACAATTCACTTAATACCTAAGTCTTGGAAACAGCCGATATGTCCATCAGCAGATCAGTGGATAAAGAAAATGTGGTATTGTACTATTCTGCTGTAAAGAAGGATAAACTTGAATCATTTGAGGGAAAATGGGTGCACCTGGAGACCATAATGTTAAGTGAAGTAATACAGATACACAAGCTTAAGTATTATATGCTTTCTCTTACATGAAAAAATTATTTATATATATAGTATATGTGCTATGTATAATATATATAATATACACATAAAATGCAGATAATAGGGGAAAAGAAAGAAAAAATTATTTTAGTACAGCACAATGTACCTAAAAGAGTATCTTGACTTAGTATAATTGTCCTTACTCTGGTTTCTCTTCAGATCATATAAATCTTTCACCTTTTACTATAATTGTCCTATATGTTATAAATATATAAACATACATATATGATAATTAACTCTATAAGTTATCATAAATAAGTGAATTTGATGCTGGAAAAATAAAAGGGGGATAGAGAGAAGGAGAAAAAGAGAATTTTTTTTTTTGGTTTTTGGTTTTTCTCCAGTACCGGGAATCAAACTCATGACCTTGCACTTGCCAGGCAGGCGCTATGCCGCTGATCCAAATCCCCAGCCCCAAGAAAAAGAGAATTGAAATTTGTTGTGCATATGTACCAATCCCTTATAATTCCCTTACAATGAATGTAATCATTATGTACTGCAAACATGTATTAATAAAAGTCAAAAATATAAAAAAATACAAAAGTAAGTATGACATTTGAAAATTAAACTGGAAGTGGTGCTGCACACCTATAATTCCAGCACTCGGGAGGCTGAGGCAGGAGGATTGTTGTAAGTTCGAGACCCATCTCAAAAAAGACAAAAAAAAAAAAAAAAGAAATTTAAAAATTAAAAAAAAAATGAAAAAGTGAAACACAATCGACACTGCCAAAATAAAAAAGATTAGTTCACAGTTCCACCAATAGTGTAGCTGGGTTCCTTTTTCACCATTGTCACACCAGCATTTGTTATTGTTTGATTTCTTAATGACTGATATTCTTTTGGAGAAAGATGGAATTTTAGTGTTGTTTTAATTTGTATTTCTCTAGTAGCCAGAGATGTTGAACACTTTTTCATGCATGTATTGACCACTGTACTTCCTCCTTTGTGAAGTGTCTGTTCATTGCTCTTGCCCATTTCTTGAGTAGACCTTTAATTTTAGGTGGTCTAATTTTTTGGAATTCTTTTTGTTGTTGTTGTTTTTATCTTTTTGAGACAAGGTCTCATTATGCAGTTCAGGCCGGCCTTGCGTTCACTTTGTAGCCTAGGCTGGCCTCAAACTCGCAACAATCCTCCTGCCTCAACCTCTCGGGTCCTGAGATTACAGGCGTGTGCCACCATACCTGGCCTGGAATTTTTTTATATATTCTAGATATTAGTCCTTTGTTGAAGAGTAGGTGACAAATTTTTTTTTCCTATTCTGTAGGTTGTCTCTTCACTCCAGTAAGTGATTCTTTGCTGTACAGCAGCTTTTTAATGTGATATAATCCAACTATCATGGAAATCAGTTTACAGATTTCTCAAAAATCTAAAACTAGAAATACTATAGGCACCAGTTACCCCTCTTCTAGGTATCTTTCCCAAAGAGCTTAAGATATCAGACTACAGCAGTACATGCATACCAGCGTTCATAACAGCACAACTCATGATAGCTAAACCCTGGAAGCAGCCTGTGTACCCATCAACAATTGATTGGATAAAGAAAATATGATATATTATGATATATATACATATAACATATAGTATAGAATATTAACATATATTAACATTGCACATAATGTACTAGCAATGTATACATTAATATATTATATACATATAACATACATGCATATATTATAAACATATAATATATTATACATATATATTACTGCCAACATCATATTAAACACTACTGCCAACAGCATATTGAATGCAGTAGGTTGGAATTGAGGTAAAATTAATCAATACACCTTAAGTCCTTAAGTTACTAGGATTATGCTAGGTTATTCACTAAGTGCAAATGCATTCACTAAATGCAAAGCCTTCTTAAAAGTGGAGGAAGAAAGTGGACAGGAAAATGTGACTATGCCAAGAAGAAAGAGCACTGCAAGCCTTGAAGACCAGAAGAGGCTTCTGCTGGCTGGGTTTGCACCTTCTCAACACAGTGCGTTTCGCCCTGATGGGTGACGGTGTACTTCTGGGCAGCAGACCTGTAAGATAATGCATTTTTGTTCTTTTAAGCCATGTAGTTTATGGTGATTGTTTTAGTATATTGGCTACTGGATACCAGTATATTCTGTGTTCAAAAATGTGTTGATACTTGTAAATTCATTGGGATATTTTAATCTATTATATTTTTTTCTCCTTTTGTGGCTAGTCTTTGTTTTTTTGTTTTTTTTTTTGGTTTTTCTCCTTTACCGGGAACCGAACTCATGACCTTGCGCTTGCCAGGCAGGCGCTTTGCCGCTGAGCTAAATCCCCAGCCCCCTGTGGCTAGTCTTTGTAATATTCCTTTCTTTGAAAAAATGTATTATTGGGAAAATTAAAAGAAACTATATGAATGAGTAAATACATTTATAATATTTATAGTACACATGTTCTGTATCATTAACATATCATGTTTGTGTATTTGTACATTGACAAACTGATAGACTTTCATGCCAATGCAAAGTGCTAAGAATGGGTAACCAAAAAATTGAGAACAAAGTTGAAGGATTCACACTCCAATATCGAAAATGTAGATAATTTTAACTATATTTGTGCAATATTGGTGCAAGTTTATACAAATAAACTGATGAAAATATGGAAACTACAGGAATACTCTTAGGCTTCTGTGAATTTTGCCTCAATTGACTCTGTCTGAATGTGTCTAGGGCTGGTTCTCCCAGGGATCCAATATCCACAGGCCATTAAACGTTCAGGTACCTTCCATCTCAAGAGAAACGACTTACTCCGATTGGTGCCAGGCCTCTGTAGGAAGTGGGAATATAGGGGCCCCCATCTGACCCGAGTAATGTCTTGGGAATAAAAAGGAATACATAAGTGTTTTCATTTAGTTCTTGCAAGAGTCTTTCCCATTCTAAAATTATACTCCCTTCTAAATGGACTCTTTCCAGCACTCTTGGTAACCAGGAGACACAAGACAGAGCTGGTGAGTTTAAAACGGCAGCCATTTAATGACAATACCTTTACCAGCTCTGCATTTTCATCAAGCAAAATTACAGTCTGCAGTTTGGTAGCATCCAACTATGGCCTGTGCCCTGCAGGTCACGGCCTTGGGAAACAGGGATCTTCTTAACACCAGTGATTCTATGATAAGCAGAACCAGGAGACTCTGCATTTCTTGTGGAGAGCAGCTAATGTAATCAGAGATGCAGCCAGGAATTCAGAAGGAAAGAGCTCTTTGGAAAAAGAAGTGAAATCAGAATAGATTTGATTATAGCGACTGACCTTAGCTGGGATGTTTTCTTTTGACTTACCCCTATAGTTGTAAGGAGTTGTGATATATTCCCCCAACCCCACACCCCTTAAATGACCCTTGGGACTGAGGAAATGGTGTCTGTTGTGGGGCAGTGAATCCGTGCCGAGAAGATGAACTGCAGTGCAGCCTAAATGACAGTCTACCCACTCTTCTGGCTACGGGAGATCACGTGGCCATCATTTTAGGGGGTATCTTATGGATCCCTTGTTGCTATACATTATCCATATGAGCTCAGCACCTGTAGGAGTTCAATCAGCCTCAGCCAGGAGATAGAACTGAGACTGCTCACACAGGGGCTGCCTTTGGGTATGGAACTAGTTACATGTCTCATAGGTAGATGTAATGTGTTCATTTTGCTAAATTAAAGATTCTTTCAAGGACAAACCTAAGAGAGAGAAAGAAGCTCACTTATGTACAGCTTTGGTGGGGATCCTGAGGAGATGTTGTCAAATCCTTCGAGGATCCACTCGCTCTTCTTGTGCACAAGTGTACTGATCCCTGTCAAACACCCTAATACAGGTTTGTCATGCCGTGTTTGCAAAATACACTCTCTTTCCTTACAAGCTTTGCGAATGACTTTATAAGTCTATGGGGAGGAGTAAGAGCCAAACCGCTCCAAAAGTGGGCTCCCAGTGGCTCTCCCTCTGTGAGGCTTCTCCGGTGCTCTGCCTGCTTCCTGGTGTCAGTGTTCCTGCCTTTGCTTCCCTTTTCGCAGTAATCCATAAACCAGATCACAGAACTGGAGTTAATGTTCAAAGAGTATTTTCTATGCAAAAGCCTCTTCCAAAGGCAAGCTCTGCCTAATACAAACTTTAGATTCTCACATGGGGTCCAAGCACCGGCAGACCAGAAAGGAAACCTTGGGGACAAAAAACTATTTCATCTCTAAGAAGGGACAGTTTTCTCTGTTCAACTTTCCTTAGGACAAAAGACACTGTTTTCTCGTAAGTAGGCATCATCGGAAGCAGTGATAGGTTTGTCTCTCCTACTGACGATAGGGCGTAAGGATTATCCAGGTTTAGAAGGTTGCTTCTGAAGTCTGAAACAACCCTTTAAAAAAAATGAAATAACCCTTTGAGCTCACTGTTCCCTGCTTAAGTCTGAGTGATGCCGTTCACTGGTCCCTGTGTGTTTTCTCACATAGCTCTCTTGTATGCACATCGTGTCAGCATCTGTCCTAATTCAAACCATTTTCCATCCACTGTGAAATGAAGTGTCCCACATCACTCCCAGTACTAGAATCTGCCCTTTCTATTTCCCTCTCCTTTCTTTATGTTTTCTCCATAGTCTTTATGCTATCAAATGCGCTGTCTGAAACATAACAGGGCCTGCACAAAAGCGGGAGTCTCCTTTCTTCATCCATTATAATATTTTCAGTATTTTTATTATTCTCTCTTCCTCTCTGGCTTCTCCCCACTCCCTTCCCTAATTTGATTTTTTTCTCCTGTTAGACCTGTGTCTATTCTCAATAATCTGCATGTATACAGAATGTTATTTACATTTAATCATATAAGATCTCTTTTTTTTTTCTTTTTGTACCTGGAATCAAACTCAGGACCTTGCGCTTGCCAGGCAGGCACTTGTGCTGCTGTGCTATATCCCTGGCCCTCATATAAGATTTCTGATCTACAAAAAGAACAATTTCATGTGACTTAATAGTAAATATACGAAGAAATCAAGTAGCACCAATGGCAAAAGGAAGGGGTAGTAATCAGTCGGTTCCATAGGTAGCAGGTCAATAAAGGCACAGAAAGAAAGTTCTGATGCAAGAATCTTGAGTGTGACAATTGTGGCCCCCAACAATTTTCGGCAGCAGGGTGGGAAATGTAGCTTTTCTTGCTCATCATCATGACAAGTGATTTTTCCTCAGGGCTCAAGACCCAGTGGATCCCATGCTGCAGAGACCATGTATAACTCGAGCTGTTACAACCCCAGTTCCTTCATCCTGATTGGAATACCCGGCCTGGAAAAGTTCCACATCTGGATTGGGATTCCCTTCTGTGTCACCTATATTGTGGCAACGGAGGGCAACTGCGTCCTCCTCTACCTCATCGCAGTTGAGCAGAGCCTCCACGAGCCCATGTTTTTCTTTCTCTCTCTGCTGGCCAGCACAGATCTCATCCTATCCACTATCACAGTGCCCAAATTACTCAGCAACCTCTGGTTTGGCTCCCAAGAAATAACCTTCTCCGGTTGCCTGGCTCAGATGTTTTTCCTGCACTTCAGCTTTGTGGTAGACTCCGCTATCCTGTTGGCAATGGCGTTTGATCGCTATGTGGCCATCTGTCTCCCCCTAAGATACAGCAGCATTCTGACTCCACGGGTGATCGTCAAGCTGATGGTGAGCATCGTCACGAGGAGCTTCTGGGTCATCCTACCGGATGTCTTCCTGCTGAAACGCTTACCATTCTGCGGCACACGCATCATCCCACACACATACTGTGAGCATATAGGGGTAGCCCGACTTTCCTCGGCTGACATCTCCGTGAACATCTGGTATGGATTTTGCATGCCCCTCATGACTGTCATCTCAGATGTCATCCTCATCGCTGTTTCCTATATCTTCATCCTCCGCGCTGTCTTTCGGCTCTCCTCCCAGGGCGCCCGCCAAAAGGCCCTGAGCACCTGCGGCTCCCACGTCTGTGTCATCCTCATGTTTTACACGCCCGCCTTCTTCTCCATCCTCGCGCATCGCTTTGGGCACGGCGTCCCCAGAAATGTTCTCATCCTGTTTGCGAACTGCTACGTCGCCATCCCACCCGCTCTGAACCCTATTGTTTATGGGGTGAAGACCAAGCAGATCCAAGACAAATTTATTCTTCTCTTCACTTTGAGGAAGACACGATGAGTGGAGCCTGAGGGAGAAAGTGAGATGAAATTGATTTTGTGAAATTTTATATTATATAAGAAGATACAATGATAAATCTGTAAAATCTATATACACAAAACATAAACATTCTAACCACGTACCAAGGATAGGCAAGAGAGAAAGAGCGGAGAGAAAATTCCTATATGTTTGTGGAAAACAAGGGTTTTCTTTAGGTGGTTATCTCACCCTTTATGTGAAAAGGTATGATGAATTGAGAAGAGCACCAGCATTAAGGTTTCCATTATTCATCTTGCTAAATTGGAGCATATTTTAAGGATAGGTATTTACTGATGTGCAACTCACACTTCTGATTTTTTACAGCTCCTAAATTAAAGGCACTGCCCCTCCTGCCCCTTGTCAATGGTTATCTCTTTACTATAATTATCAGACTGAGAGCTTAATGTTCCTTCAGTCCAGATTCCAGACATTGTTATTTTCTCCTCTGATGTCTTTTATTTTCACTTGCTGTACTGTTTTCCTTTCCTCACTTCGAATTTCATGGAGTTATTTTTGTAACTTTTTTTCAATTGCATACTGTAGAGAAAATATAATTTTTTTACAACCTTGTGAACGTGTTGTAGGGACATTAATATAATTAATTAAGAACATTTTGTGGGAGTAATGTTAATTTGGTTTAAAAGTGAAGAGACAGAGATCTACAAAATTATAGAAAGATAACTAATAGACACAGGTTCTAAACTCAGTTCTGGATGATTTTGAACTCTGAATGCATTAAACACATACTTCCTGGGAATCTACTCACACAAATGTCTCATAAATTTCTTGAAATGAATTTCTTCTTAACGGACATGGAAAGTCACTAACCTTTCTTGTAAAAATTTTTCTTTGTAACTGGATGTGGTGGTATAGACCTATAATTCCAGCACTCAGAGAGGCTGAGGCAGGAGGACTGCAATCAGGAGGATTGCAGTTGCCAGTATGGGCCATTCTGTGAGATCCTGTCTCAAAGTAAAAAATAAATAGGGCTAGGAGTTAGATCACTAGTAGACTGTCCCTGGGTTCAATCCCAGGTGGTCCCTCCTATCTCACAAAATTCTCTTTCTAAATCAGGCGTGGTGGTGCACTCCTGTAATCCCAGCACTCTGGAGGCTGAGGCAGGAGGATTGTTGCAAATTTGAGACCAGCCTGGGCTACAAAGTGAGCTCAAGGCCAGCCTGAACTGTACAGTGAGACCCTGATTCCAAATGACAAAAAAAAAGTTCTCTTTCTTTTATATCTTCCTTTGAGCTAAATAACACCGCAAAAAATATGAATGTCAAGGCTGAAACCTGTGGGTTGTATTTTATTTTTCCTTCACAACCCATTAACACAATTAACTCAGTGTTTGAATTGAATATTTGAGTTTGAGGTGCTTTTATGTCTTTCTGGTAGCTCTATGCATCACATTCTCACCTGTGCTACAGCACTGAACTTCATTAGTCCCCAGTCTACCATCTTTCTCTGAGATATTTCAAAGTGTGCTTTTTGAAGGATTTGTTACCTTGTCCCTTCCAATTTATTCTCACAGTGAGGACTTTTTTTTGTGTATGTTTTTGAGGCAGGGTCTCACTATGCAGTTCAGGCTGGCCTTGAGCTCACTTTGTAGCCCAGGCTGGACTCTAACTCGCAACGATCCTCCGGCCTCAGCCTCCTGAGTGCTGGGATTATAAGTGTGCCACTACGACCTAGTGAGGATTTTACAGTTTACAAACAACTGTGTCACTTTGCCTCTTGAAACTCTTCAGTGATTCCATTGCCCTCAGGATTATGCATACTGTCCTCTCAGATCATTGAAAGAATAAATAAAAAGCAATGTTTCTTGAAACTCCAAATCTCACACGTTGCTTATATCATTAAATTCATGTATTTGCTTATCTATACTTTACCTGTACTTCCCTGACTCTTTGAAGTAACTGAAGTAGAAGGTTTTCTTTTCATTGTCACACCCAACATTTATGTTATTTTACATAAAATAAGACTTGACATAGATGTAGCGTGTGCTGAACAGAGCTGGGTGGGAACCGTCGGCAGTCCTCTTTGGCAAATGTCCCAGCATAACAATATCTTTTGCTTAAAAAGCTCCCCTGGAAATAAAGTCATACAGGTGGGGAATAAAGCTCAGTGGCACAAGTGCCTGCCTAGCAAGCGCAAGGTCCTGAGTTTGATTCCTGGTACCCACCCCCCAAAAAGAATTGAAGTCATACATTCAATCATGAAGATCACATGAGAACTTTGATACTACACTTGATCTTAGCCAAAAGGCCAAGAAGCAATTAAAACATCTTTGTGTAAGGAAGTAAAAGATTGAACTTGGCATTCCAATGTAGATTCTATGTGTGTTCGTGTGCTTGTGTGTGACATTTTCCTTGTTGTCTGCAGCACTGCTCATAGCAGCTCAGAAGAAACTCACACAGCAGCTGCTTTCTCTATGCTACTCTTAAAAACTGTCATATTTATTTGTTTTTATTTATTTATTTTATTTATTTGTATTTACCTACCTAACACTTATTTCATGTGCTCTTTGAAGGCTAAAACTTATCTTTTTCATCTTCTTTTACTCTGCCCAGTGAAAATACCTGGCATGCAATGTATCCTTAATAAACACACCATGCATATTTATACTTCACCAGAAATCTCTTCCACCAAGGCATTACCCTCAAGCTCTCTTTTCCGCCTTCACTAGCCAGTTAAGATTCCACTGCACATCATTTCACCCACATCTTGTTTATGTCCTAAACTCTCCTTTCTTTCTTACACACTCAATTAAAAGATATATTTCTGGAATCTTACGTAATTCACTCAGTGCCCTTGAGAATGGGTAAAAATGACTCCATTAGGCAGGTGGATACAATTTTTTTTTTTTTTTT